AGTGGCTTTTTTAGTATACTCACAGTTACGCAATGTCACCGCTATCTAACTCCAGCATGTTGTCATCACCCCAACAAGAACCTCCATATCTGACAGGAGTCACTCCCTAGTCTCCTCTCTCCCAGTGAGCCAGGGTCTGCAGGAAGTATCGTCCCCGCTGTTTACAGCAGATACCATGAGCTGTGACAAGGACACCAAGGAAGGGAGGCCCAAGGTTACTGTCGTGAGGTCAAGAGGGTCTGGAGGTTCCCAGCAATCCTTGGCAGGCCTTGTCTGGCAGATTTTTCTCCACATCGTGTCCCCCTCGTGTGTGACTCTGTGTCTGTCTTCTTGGTATGAAGCCACTCACAAGGCCTAGGACCCACACTGTTCTGCGATGACTGAACGAGTAACATCTGCCAAGAAGATCCCTACCTTCCGCAAACACCGCCTCATTGGCTGGTGCCGGTGAGCACTTGGACATGACTTTCTGGGGGACACAGTCCATTCAGGACAGCAAAAGACAATCATGAACATGGCACCGAGACTGTACTAACCCGGGTTAAACATTCTGGGGAGATACATGATACAAAATTAACACACGGCCTGAAGTTTACACTTGACTTGGAGTCCTTCCCAAGTCAAACTAAGCTCCATGGCTGAGCTCGTTTTCATGACCCATTCTCCACTTTGCGCTTCCTTTCCTCCATGGAAGGGCTGCTTCCTCTTCAACCCCCGTTTTCCACGAGGATCTGTGTGCTTTCCTCTCCTCTTGTCTCCCCTCGTCACGTTTCAAATGACAAAGACTGACTAGTTGTTCCCTCCTCTCTTCTCTGTTCCAGGACAGACTTTTTTCTCACCTGCCCGTCTCTGGTCCTGTTGAGAGTGATGCAGCGTACTCCTGCTTTCTCTCTGCAGAAGTGCCGTCTGCTGGGTGCCAGTGGGCGTCCCCCTATGACCCACGAGCCCTCTTCCACATTCCTAGGTCTTAATGTGCTTTGGGAGCAACCATAGTGAACACAATTCTCAATCCCTGTTTTCTGTCTCAAAATCCACCAGGCTGGTACTATGCACATCCCGCTTTTCGTTTCTGGCCTCAATTGCTTCTCCTGTGCCCGAGCAGTTGACGGGACACAGCTTTTTCTTGGGTCTGATCCTCTTTGCACGATCATCAAGTCAACTACGTAACTCTGGAATTTCTCTGTCGGTGCATGCTCTGTTGCTGGTGGCGACATCACGGAGCTCTGGGAAGTGAGGAACCTCCGGAGCATGATTGCAGGGAGTCGGAACCACCCTTGCAGCACCCCCTCCGTCTCAGTGGTTGACACCAGACGACGAGGCACTCATGTTGATTTTTCTGGAAACCCTGGTGCAAGTTCACGTTATCCCTCTACCAAATTCTAGGGCTGTGTCAGGTGAGGGGAGGGAACGTTGTCCAGGTGCTGGAGGCCTGAGGTGGACACGGAGACTCAGACATGCTACAGCACTGGCTCAGTGAGATTGACCCCGCCCTGTGGAAGGGACCGGAACCCCAGCCGTTACCGTGTCCCTGGAGGCGGAAAGAATTAAGGCAGCATGTCCCAGAGTGACAGCAGGGCAGGCCTGGAAGGAAGGACAGGGATTTGTGAGCAGATGTCTCAGCTACAGAAGAGAGAGATCAGCTGTATTTTAGTATTATCCCAGGAATACTCTGCCCAGTAATTCTCTTTGTTTACATATATTTTTTTATTGGTTACTTAATGTTTTACAAAATGCTTTATTGCAAAAAGGGGATACGCAACACCTTGGAGATCCCCCTTTCCTCTCTGTTACTGTTGGTGGTTGTCATCAAATCAGCTCCAACTCACGGCCACTCCATGTCCAACGGAATGAACAGGTGCCCAGCCTGGCTCGGACCGTCTTCAGCTACTGGTCTGTGCAAGTCCACTGTTGTTCACCTCGGGGTTCCTCTCCCAGCACAGGCTACACAACGTTCTACTGTAACCACAGGCTCCTCACTGACTCCTCCTCACAAGTCGGTCACCAGGCCTTTCTCCCCAGTCTGTCTCAAGTCTGGAAAATTGCCCAAACCCACTGCCATCCAGTCAATTCCAGCTCATAGAGACCCGTAGGGGTCCAAGGCTACAAATCCTTACTGAAGCAGACCATTTCATCTTTCTCCCACAGAGGGCTGGTGCGTTCCAACGGCTGACCTCGTCAGTCAGCAGCTAAATGCCTTAACCGCTGGGCCACCAGAGCTCGTCTTAGTCTGGAAGCTCTGCTGAGACCTATCCACCATGGGCGAGGCTGCTGGCATTTCAAATACCAGTGGCATAGCGTACAGCATCATAGCAACAGGGAAGCCACCACAGTGTGACAAAGTGACAGAGGCTTTTCTCTTTCTCCATCAAGAATTTGACCATCTCTACAAAGATATGAAAACGACCAGACCGGCCCCAATGCCTCCATGTAGGCTGTTCTCACGTGGCTCATTCAGACACCTTCAGACACGTGTGAAGGCCGCTGGTGAAGGAGGCCTGTGTGTTTCTGAGCACTCCCAGCCCACGTCTCCCTTTTCCAGAGTTCACCCTTTTTGGAATGAGCAAGTTCAAACGAGATACCTCCATTCACATGTCAGGGTAGCACAACTTTAAAATTCAGTAATTGGTTAAAACTGTTGCCATCGAGTTGAATCTGATGCATAGCAACCTTACAGAACACAGAACAGCGCCCCGGGTTTCCAAGGCTGTAAATCTTGGTGCAAGCAGACAGCCACTGCCTTGTCCCATGCAGCATCTGGTGGGTTCAAACCGCTGACCTTCTGGTTACCAGCCGAGCACTTACCCGCTGAACCATCGGTGCAGCAGTGTTACATGAATGGGATATGTTGTTGTTGTTGTTATGTGCCCTCGAGTCGGACCCGCCTCATAGCGACCCCTCCTTGGGTTTCCGAGGCAGTATCACAACAGAACTAGATTGCCTCATCTTCCTTCCGAGGAGTGGCTGGGGGGTGAGGACTTTTTTTTTTTTTAATTGTCAATGATTTTTTACTTTAGTGTCTACTTTAATAAATTTTAAAATCATTTACTTAAAATAAATTTTATTAAACAAATTTATTCAAGACACGGGAAACGTGTTTCACTTTGGACAGTAATAAAAAAGAATAAACATTATGTATGCAAATCATAATGGGAAGAAATACATTTAAATAGTATGCAAACAGTACTCACCAGGGCAGGTCCCAAAGGCATCCCCCCACACGTAAGTTACACTCACGCTGAGACCCAGCACCGGTAAGCACTCTATTCTGCCACCACAGAAAACACCCAGGGGTTTTGATAAAAGTACTTTCTGAACAGCAGTACATTATGCAGAAACACGTGTGTGTGTAGTGTGTACGTACATATGTAAGTGCATGTGCAGTGTGTGTGGTGCATGTATGTATAGGGTGTGTTATGTTGTGTATGATGTGTGGGATGCTGATGTATTTCTTTTGGTGTGTGTGATGTGTGTGACCTGTATGTTGTGTGTGTGTGGTATGTATGTGGTGTGTGAGGTGTGAGTTGATGTTATGTGTGGTGTATGATGCTGATGTGTTTTTGGTGCATGTGGTATGTGTGACATATATGTTTTCTGTGTGGTGTGACATGCATTTTTTGTGTGTGGTATGTATGTATGTTGCATGTGGGGTATATACGTGTAGGGTGTGCATCTTGTCATGTTGTGTGTGATGTTGATATAATGTGTTATCTGTGTGGTATGTGTGACGCATGTTTTTGCATGTAGCATGTGTGCTATGTATGCACGTGCTGTGTGGAGGTATGTGTATGTGTGGGATGTATGTTGTATTATTATGCTGTGTGTGGGCTGTGTGCTTTTCTTTGGTGTGTGTGATGTGTGTGCCATGCATTTTTTTTGTGGGATATTGACTTGCATGTACTGTATATGTTGTGTTGTGTATGTTGCATGTGTGTAGGGACCCATTTGCCACAATCCTGCACTCAACACGAAGACTTTGCAGTTACTGCTGAAACACAGAACAGGACCCACTTGGTACCTCTCTCCTCCCTCTCCCAGACCCCACTCTGGTGGCACCGCCAACGCAGAGACAGGGTTTGGAAGACACGCACTGTGAGTTCACAGACTCAACCAATCTGGTGAAAAGCTGAGGCACCTGGAACTCTGTTAAACAAACTGGTTTTTCTGAGGTATACACAAGAGGTGACTGATGGCTAATGACTGTGATCTGGAAGAAGGGGCTGCTAGGATGTTCCAGGCATGGCTTCGCCAGTTCTGGAAGGTCACTGTGGCTGGCACCGTGCCAGAGCCTGTTGGCAAAAGTCCTGCTCACCTTGGTCATTGTTGACTTAGCTCCATTATTTCATTCCCTCATATGAGTAGAGGGAAGCTCTTAGTAACTTCTTCCAAGCCAGGAGTGTAAACGTTAACATTTAATATTCTACCTTTGAACACTGGGAGTTATTAAACATTATAGCCACATAAACGAATGATACCTCCCAAATCCATGGGAGGCTTAGACTCGGGCACCTTGCAGCTATAGCCCGTTCACTCGCCTGCAGCCTCTAGGCCGGAGAAGAATGCGGGAGCAGGACAGAGAACCAGCGGTCTGTGCAAGCAGTGCTCTTGCACACTGTTGTTAGGCAAGCAGCTTCTCCATCCTGCCCAGGTGGAGGTGTGCCTGTGCGTGAGACCCCACCACCTGCACTCAGGGCTTTAGAAACCCAAATCCAAACCCGTGGCCATTGAGACGAGTCCGACTCATGGTGACCCCATCTGGGACTCCAGAGTGGAACGGCTCCACAGGGCTTCCTCAGCTGTAACCCTATGGAAGCAGACTGCCAGCCCTTGCTTCCAGGGAGCTGCTGGGTGGGTCTGAATGACCAGCCTTTAAGTCAGTAGTTGAGTGCAGACTGTTCATGCCATCTAAGGGTCTATAAGGGTTGCAGCGTGAATAGGAACAGAAAGAGGTGTGTGCAGTGGTCAGACCTCAGCTCAGAGCTGTCACCGTCATGGTCACTTACCTGAGACCAGAACAAGTGCTGAGACTGACGACTGATCCGGGATAGCCATGCACATGTCCGTGGTAGTAACAGTGACCCTGAAAGGAGGAGAAAATTGATTGAGCACTAGCACATCTCTGTACAAGAACCCAACTGCCTGCAGCTGCCCACACTTGGTTTTAGCTGCAAGGTTTCCTTCTGCGTGAATCAGCCATCTTGGTTCACCATACTGAACCAGCCATCTTCACATTGAACGCTAAGCCCAACGTGACCAGCTGAGTCTACAGCAGAATCTTCTGATTGACTTAGAGGTCATTAGTAGGTACAATGAATGCCCCTAGCTCCACCCCAGTCTCCCTGACACCCTTCCTGGAAGCCCCAGTGCAGGGCATTTTACCAAATCCAGCAGCAGAACAATCACACTGGCACCACCACCATACCTCCATACTATATTGCCCTTTGTAACAAGATGTGGAACTGCATGGGGTACTGAAACACACTGTGGAATATAATACAACAAGGCCTAACTCTAAGGCTTGCGACAAGAGGAAAGTGGATGAGAGGAGGCGGGGTGAAGAGGGAAGGGGAAGGGGCCGCGCTGACGCACTCAATGGAGAACTGGCGGTCTAGCTCAGCAGGACAGGGAAACAAGAAGGTCTTCTGTGGAAGACAAAAGTCCCTGTGTGACAAGCCCGCCCTACTCTAGTTCTTTAACAACGGAACTGCTTACAAGAAGGAACCAGAATACAGGTACTCCTTGGTTAAGATGGGTATCTGTCCGGAATCCAGGTGAGCTTTACTGTTGAACCAAGGTTGTGCTGCAGAACCAATGACGTGGCTGGCAAGGCACGGCTGCAGCAGCCTCAGCAGTCCTTGTTCTCAGGCCTTGGAGGGCCGGTGGGCATGGGGTCCTGGTAGGGGAAGGGCTATGTCTTCTGGGGAAAGGCTTCTTTGCTCCAACAATAGCCACCTGCCTTTTCCGGAGCGGGGCTTGGCATCCGGTTGTTCTACCCAATAAAGACAACGTTGCAAAGGCAATCCTGATGCTGCTGAGGAGGAGGACCAAACACCACCGTGAGAAAGGGACTGAGATCACGTACTTGTTATTGATTCTAGACGAGACTGGAACCATCTGGAAGGCAGCAACAGGAGGAGCTGTGAGGGCACAAGGGACAGCTCTTCTTTTGTTTGACCTATTTTCTTACTGATTCTAGGAGTTTTTTGTGTATCCTGCACATCAGTATGCTGCCTGTTACACAACCAGTCAGAGCTGACTCTGACTCAGTGACCCCACGTGTCAGAGCAGAAGCATGCACTGCAGGGGTTTCACCAGCTGACGTGACAAGGAGACTGCCGAGACTGAGTGCCTCTGGCTGGACTTCCACCTCCAACCGAGCGTATCGACCCTCTGCACCACCAGGGATTCCAGCTTTGGATGGCAAGTCTTGTAACTTTGTATATGATGTCTTTGGTTGTACACCAAAAACCAAACCAAACACACCGCCATGGAGTCAGATCTGACTCACAGTAACCCCTCTGTGGGTTTCCAAAGCATTATCACCACAGAAGTAGAATGCCCAACCTTCCTTCTGAGGAGTGGCTGGTGGGTAGGAACTTCTAATTTCTAGAAAGTCAAATTGATCCTCACCTTCATGCATTTTACATATTCGTAAAAAGGCAGCTTTCTTCAAGGTTGTAAGTATTCTTCATCTCCTTCCAATAGACCTACAATTAAGCTTCTTCATCTACCTGGTACTGAATTCTGTGGGGAATGCACTCTAATCCTACTTTCCCTCAAACCAAGAGCCAGCTGTTCCACCATCATCGCCCCTCTGCTCACTGGTTTGAAATGCTACCTCGCTACATATGAATGCCCCCCTACATACGTGGTTCCATTTCTACTCTGTCCTCTTTCCCTGAGAAGATCTTCCACCTGGCTGTTCCTGCACCAATGCGACACTGTTTTAAATTCATAGATTAAAAAAATTAAGTCTACAATTCAGTGGTTGGTTGTATATTCACAGTGTTCTGCACCCATCACCACTACCTAATGTCAAAACACTTTTATCTCCCAAAAAGAAACCCAGTACCCATTCTCACTTTCCAGCTCCCTTGCATCTCAGTCTCAGGCAACTGCTAACTTCCCATGCCCCGCCCCTCAGCTCCCAGACAACTGCTCATCTGCTTTCCTTTTCTATGGTACTAGCCATCCTGGATATTTCATACAGTAGACCCGGACAGTACTTGGCCATTGGCATTTGTCTTCCTTCATGTATCGTTGTGTTGTCAAGATGCATCCACGCTGTAGCAAATAGCAGTACTTCACCCCTTGCTCTTCCACTGTATGGACACACCATATTTTGTTTATCCAATCACCAGTTGGTACTCACTGGGATGTTTCTAACTTTCGACTATTTATGCATAACAATGCTGTAAACACATATATATGTTTTTGTGTGGACATAGGCTTCCAGTTCTCTCAGGTAACTCTCTTTCAAACTGTCTTCCAAAATGTTGTTGTTGTTGTTAGGTGCCACCGAGTCAGCTCTCACCCATAGCGACCCCGTGCACAACAGAACTAAACACTGCTCAGGCCTGTGCTGCCCTCCAAAGCCTGGCCACGCTTAAGCCCAAAGTTGCAGCCATTGTGTCAGTCCATCTCACTGAGGGACTTCTCCTTTTCCATTGACCCTTTATTTTACCAAACATGATATCCTTCTCCAGGGAATGGTCCCTTCTGACAACATGACCAAAGTAGGTGAGAAGTCTGGCCATTCTCGCTTAAAAGGAACATTCCAGCTGCACATCTTCCAGGACAGATTTCTTCATTCTTCTGGCAGTCCGTGCTATTTTCAGTATTCTTCACCAACAACCACAATTCAAAGACATCAACTCTTCTTCGGTCTTCCTTATTCATTGCCTGGCTTTCACATGCCTATCAGGCTACTGAAAATACCATGGCTTGGGTCAGGCACACCTTAGTCTTCCAAACAACAACTTTGCTCCTTAACACTTTAAGGAGGTCTTTTGCAGCAAATTTGCCCAGCGCAATACAATGTTTGATTTCTTCAACTGCTGCTTTCATGGAAGTTGACAGTGGATCCAAGTAAAATGAAATTCCTGACAACCTCAACCTTTTCTCCACTTATTGTGATGTTACTTACTGGCCCAGCTGTGAGGATTTTTGTTTTCTTTATGTTGAAGTGTAATCTGTATCGAAGACTGTGGTCTTTGAACTTCATCACTAAGTACACCTCAAGTCATCTTTACTTTCACCAAACATGGCGGTGTCTTCTACATATCACAGGTTGTTAATGAGTCTTCCTCCAATCCTGATGCCACGTTCTTCTTCATATAGTCCAGCTTCTCAGATTTGCAAAGCATACAGACTGAAAAAGTATTATGGAAGGATACAACCCTGAGGCAAAACTTCCTGATTTTAAATGCTAATAATCCATTGAAATTTTAGCTAAGACTCCACTGAATGTATAGGACATTTGGGAAGAATGTGTGTTTTTCAATAGAGTTTTCCTGTTCATGTAGATGGTTAAGTCTCTCTAATAAGGTTGTTTTTATGTCCTTCAGTTTAGCATTAGGTTTTTTTTCCCCCTCCTTTAATGTGGCTATTGGAAATCTTTTGTTAGGTTTGCTTATGTCTGGCTATGTGGTTTTGCTGATGTCATGAACAGAATCTTTTTACTATTATTACATATTACACATTACTGCTTGTATAAAGGAAAGACTGGTTTTCTAAGTTGATCCTCTGTCAGAACTTCTTGCTGGATCATATTATCCATTTATTATTAGCTTGCAGAATGTCTTGGAATTTCTAGCTTGTTGATCATGTTCACTGCAAAAATCGAGTTTTGTGGGCTATTGCTGAGCCCCATTGTGCCCTGTTAGCTAGAGGTGTTGCCTTAGTTCTGAATGGGATGGGCTTGTGAGACAATCAACATGCCTTTGACTACAGACTTAACTACATCTGTCCTTGGAAGAAAAGAAGAACAAAAAGGAACTAGTTCAAAGCCCAAATCCTTCCTTTATAGATGTGAAGTGCCCAGGTTGCTACGTGGTTACACGGTGTTGAGTGATGCTCACACAGGGGCGCTTGTGCAGGCTGTTCAGCAGTGTTGTGCTGGCCCACCGGAGGAAAACCAGACTCACTGAGGTTGTTCACTTAGAAGGAAGCAACATTAATGCTCCATACAGCTTCCTGAAATCCTGTCGTCACCGAAAACCTTATCAAATTCTAGTTAATCTACTGAGATCAGCTAATTAACTTTTGTTTGTTTATTTCAAAGTACACACAGCATTGATCTCTTATTTTGATGTTAGTTTTTTCAATAAAGTGTTGATTTTGGGCAAAAAAGGTAACAAAAAAATAAACTGAGTTTTGTGGGCTTTTGTCCGGACCTTCCATACAGTGTTGAGGACTGGGATGGCTAGGTACCTAGTGGCAGAGGCAGGGCATTGCACACCGAGGGAGAGCGTGTGCCAAGGAAGGGTGCAGTAAAAGGGGCGGGATTCTGCTTGGGTGGAAGACTCCAGTTCAGGGGTACAGCACCCAAGGCCTTCCATCCCTCCTTCGATGAAGCTGTGCTCTACAAGGAACACATGGCTTCGGAAAGTATCCACTACAGTGGGGTGGAGTTGGGACAGGGCCCAACCAGCCACACCTGCCTGCACTCAGGCCACTGGGGACAGCAGACCTAGCTTCCTGATCCTCTGGGTGAAATGAATTTTGAAACCTCTCTAGATAATTTCTTGGCAAGATCCTTATGGGAATCATGACAGCAATTCTCTACACAAGGGGATCAGGTGGCCGGACTGTGACACCCCCCAGGACACACAGAGGTCCAGGTGCCCTCCCCCAGCTCCTGCTGCACAGGATGGGGCTGTGAGTTCGGTCCAGGGCACACAGCAGGCACGGTCGTGTCAAGGCTAAAAGACATTTGGAAACTTGAAAGGACAAGTGACTCATGTCACTCAGTTTAGGCTGCCAAGGGTAACCAGACGTCACTGGTTCTTGACCGTTACAGATCTTTGGGGTCCCACACGTCACAGAACATCCCCCCATCTTAGAGAAATGTACAATATG